GTGACAGAAAGAGACAGAGGCAGCTCACATACCCACATGCTCCAAGGACCTATTTGGAACAAGATATTGGAACAAAATACAAGGGAACCATGCAGCGCCCACTCTTACTAGAGGGTATGGTGACCCTTCGGCAAGGGAGTCCAGGAGGGAGTCCAGTTCTTCCCCAATTATGTCCCCATCTGTGAAGTCCTCCACGCTCTCAGGCACTGGCAGGGACACACAGTCAGGAGATGGGACCAAGCTGGCAGCAGGGAGCGAGGTAGGCAAGCCCTTTGCATCCGAGTCAGAGGGCAAAGGGGCCAGCTCCTCGCTCACAGGGACGGAGGTGGCCACAGGAGCTGGGAGGCACTGTAGGTCCATAGAGCAGTCTGTGATGAAGGAAAAACAGAACCAGTCACCCAGGAGAGCCTTTTGCAGGGGGCAAGCAGAGCACAGCCTGGCAAACACAACATTGTACAACTCCATCAAATCACAAAACTCATGTATGCCAATCTTCTGAGAGAAGGGGCTCTGGTCTGAAGAGTTTCTGCTTTCGTTTTTGTTCCCCATCTCCCAATAGCTCATGGAGAGCTGAAATGTGTTCTAAGGGCCAATGCCCACACTGACTGTCAGGATTTGGCGAGAATGTACAGTAACCAGGAACAACACAAAGCCTGTGGATGAGAAGTGACTGAATTCACTGTGGCCAAGACTAAAGGCCAGGGGCACATAACCCAATTTCTCTATCACCCATCACCTGGTGTTTTCTTTAACTAACGAATTTGGCAGAGATCACTGCCTTCTCTACTCCTTGAATTCCCAACTGAATGCTTGTTTACTTGCACAGCCTCTCTTAAAACCTCAGGCATCCTAAACAGCAGATTATAAAAAACATGGGGTCCTGCTGGGAAGAGAGTCAGAGATTGGGTGCTCAGACCAGGTTGTGCTAACAACATCTCTCAAAAAAAACCTGGAGACTCACTCAGCTATCTTTACCCAAGTGAATTGCCCAATCTTGAGTGCTTTCTGATGTTCACAGGTAGAGAAGGTTGCTACCCACACTCCACCTCAGTAGCAAATATTAACTCGGGAACATGTGTGAGCCAGGTTCAGGGCAGGAGAGAGGCAGTGATTTTCACCCAGGCTTCCTTGCCTCTCCAGTACATTACTGAAATAATGAAACATTCCCACCATGCAATATAAACATCTGTTAAGCGACGTTAAAGTTACAAGCACATATTCTTCACCAAAGAGCATTTTATTCTCAAAAAAAATTAAGGGTTAAAAAAAATATAAGTTTGAATGTTAGAAATTTTGAAAATGCAGCATTTGGTTTGCAGTTCTCCAAACAAGCACCCCAACTATCTATATTCTGCCTCTGTGCAGATGTCCTGGAATAAAAGAAGGCAAAGATGATACCTGCTCCATCCACACAGCAGTAGCTGCACTGCAGCTATGACGGTCTAAGGCTATAAGCAAGGCAAAGTTTGGAAGGAGAGACAATAGCTTTTATTAGAAAGACTGGTAAGAATGGGAAAGAAAGTAGACTAAGCTTCTGAGACACAAATCTTGATCCAGTGAGAAATTATGTTTTCTGTCTGTACAAGCTCTGCTCACTCAGCTCCCCCTTTCTACCTAGGACAGGGCGAGTGAGCCATGTTGCTATCCTCTACACCAGCCATCCATTGACAGAGGACAGCGCTGGTGCCCTTCTTAAGAGAGCTCAGCAAATCAGCAGTTTCTGCAAACCCCCAAGTCCTGAACAAAAACAACAGCAGAGATGACACACACATGCAGGCCCCTTTATCTTTAACCCCACCAGGAGCTCACCATCACCCCTGGCAGCCTCTGATATTTGTTGAGTGGTCCACATGGATGGACCACAGCCAAGGTTGCCATGCAAGGTATCAGAGGCCGAACCATAAAAAAAGGCAGGGAAAGCAGGGGGAAGCGGCAAGGGACAGACACGGGTCCCTCTCCACAACCTCATGCATGCGATTGGAGGAAAGCGCATGTTGTACCTTATGGGATTGAACACAGCTCTTCAGTGCTGCAGCTGGACACATTCCCCACAGGCAGCGGCTGAAAGGAAGGCTGTAAACATCCTTAGTTTTGCAGCTGCCCCTCAGATCAAGCTCAGCTCCAACCCCATGCTGCCTTTGTGATGACGCCTCTCAGCTCATCTCCCTTTGGCATGGGCCCCCCAGACACATTTGGGAGCCAACCATCCAGCTCCCCTTGGTGCTGGCTGCATCACTGGTAGCTTGGCCAGATTTCCCTCAGTACAAAGGGATGGCTTGTGCCTTCCCATTTCTCCTATGTTTACATCTGGAATACTGTCAAGATCCCTCCAGGGGCCAACAAGAAGTTCAGGACACGCTGGAAGGGACAGGGACACGTGCAGGGGGTGCAAAAGCATTCACAATGACAAGGCCCCAAAGGATCCACAAATTCAGACCTTCTCTGAGGAATGATCGAGGCTCTCCAGTTCCACTCAGACTGGGAAGCAGAGGAAAGAGGCCCTCACACACCCTAAGAGGTCCAAAACCCTGAAAAGATGAATGTAAAACCAAAAGGCAGAAAACAATATAGGAACCGTCACAGCTCAGTGCATGTGAAGGGCAAGGAGAAGAGCAGGGACCAACAGGTTCTACTACTTGCAAGGGACAGAGGGGAGATGTCTGTTACCCTGTCCCTGACCACTCAAACCCTGTCATTCTCTCCTGAACCCAGTCTCTCGTACCATGCCCACTACCTGGTAGCTTCTCTGGTCATACACCTGCCTGTCCCAGAGGGGCAAGCACAGTACTTTTAAAAGCCCTGTTTCTAGCTCTGCTTCCCAAAACAGCACTGGCTCCCTAGTGCATTAGCTGGCCAATGGCCATGCTGAGCAAGATCTGAGCCACAATCTGTGCAGGGCAGGGCTGAGTTCATCAGATGACCACGCTAAGCATGGCAGAAGAGGCTTCAGAAGTTTGCATCTTAAAAGCAACATAAAACAAAAAAACAAGCAAACAACAAAAAAAAACTTACTAGAAAAGCTTTGACCCCGAAACTCTCAAGGCACCCAGCACCCATAGCCCTCCTGGTGGCACATCACTCTCTGGGTAATAGAATAACATGCAATTTCAGTGCTTTTGAAAAGACTTCATAGCAGCAATGGTGGCATGCTGCTCGTAACAACAAACCCTGATTAGATAAAGAGCTTACTGGATGCAGCCATTTTTTGCAGTATGGAGACAAGTTCATCTTAGCACAGCAAGATAATGTGAAGAACTCTCCTTAATTCACAGAACTGGGGCTCATCACTGAACATAGCACTCAGTTACTGAACTGGCATTCAAGACAGATCTAACATGTTTTCCAAAACAGACACCAAAGCACCCTAGCAATGAAACTGGCTTCTTCCTATTAAAAAAGCAACTGTTACTTGCAGTGACAAGTCTTCACACTTACCTTCACACACATAGCTACCTTTCAAAGGAACAAAGACTCGTGCTCAGAGGCGCAAGTTCAATGCTCCAGCACACAAGGGCAAAGCATGTAGCAAATCTTTCCACAGGAGCAGAGGCAAGGTCACTTGCTTTCTGGCATGAGAAAAGCAACCCTGCAGCCCTCCTCCTGCTCCTCCTGGATGCCTAAACCTGAGCACAGCTCTCCCTCGGTCCCTCCCAACTCCCTTTGTTTTCATTTGTCTTGGAAGACCATACATGCTCAGAGCACAAACAGCTGCCTACAACCTTAACTTCACTTTATCTGGATAGTTTTGACTGGGAACAGAGTTTCAGAAGCTTTGCCAAGGTCTGCTTTAAGAAAGCACAACTGGAGAGAGCTGTGTACCTCAGCAGACCCTTTTAATTCCCAGACATGTCCCTCACTGGGCCTGGACAAAAAAAAGCTTTTTCATACCAAAAACATTTAAGCAAAAACACCACCTTTTCCTCCTCCTAGTTACCATAACCAGGAGTGTGCAGAAGAGACACAAATGAAGATGATGAATCTCTCGGGCTTGCCAGCCTGCTCAGACACCTGACTGAAGCCACCAAAACAAGAGAAATGTCTTTACCTGTTTCAATGTCATCTATCGAACCCAATCCATTGGAAGTGGTCTGCAAAGAGGATGTAGAAAAGGACAGAGAAAATATCACCAGAAAATAATATTAAAAACTATATTCACACTTCACAGACGAGACCCTGTATGACTCCTAAATTCATCTGGCCCTTTCTTTTCCTTCATGGCCTCTTTCAGTGGAAGAGCAGTAAACCCAACAAACTTTAAGAGGCCCTTAATCTGAAGAGCCTATTCTTTTTAACTTACAGTATGGAATACCAGCCCTGCAGAATATGCAACCATGTGAGAAAATCTGTCTATAGAATAGAATTTTTCATGTGTGGATGAGAACACTGTGTCCCAAGTCCCAGACCACATCAATGGGTCAGCCCCATGCAGTGTGAGATCTGATTAGCCTCTTCTTACACAACGTTCCTTTTCTTAGTTCTTCTGTTTTGCAATTTAACAACCACAAACTTCTACAGCAAACTCAAAACAGGAAAAGGTTTCCGCCAAGACAACTGCTGACTTGGAGCTCCAGGCAAGGAATAAAATGAGCCCGTATTTTACAGAAATATGAACAGAAGTGAGCACGTGCACCTCCATCTTAAACTTAACAAGGCACAAGTATTACTTTGGAGATACTGCCTTTACTGCAACAGTTTTTGAAACTTTGGTTTTGCATTATTTTAATTTCTTGCAAAAGAAAGGATTTATCCAATTAAAAAACTAGGCACTAAAGAAAGCTAAGTGCCTGTCCAAGAAAGATGCAAAGGGAAGCCAAAGAACAGTGAGGGTAAACTAATTCTTTAGTATCTTATCTTGCTGTACAAAATGTCAACGTTGATGGTTTTACAGTTTGTTTGCTTTAAGGAGTAGTATGAAGTACCAAATAGCCTGTAAAGCCAGCAAGTGTTTTGGGGGTTTTTTGGCCTGTGGTGGGACAAGGAAATCAGCAACTTCTTATATTTTAGCTTGCTATTTGTACAGTGGCCTAACCAAGATGGATCTCCCAGGTGACAGGACAATACAAAAATGTATAAACTGTGTAAGTACCTTCCTTAGTGTATCACATTTTTTGATTTTGTAAGCTATTTGGTAGTTTCACCTTCTGATTTTTACTTAGCATTGCCCTAACTATGCAAAAACTTGAAAACTGGAACTTATTTAAAATGCAAGAGAAAGCAAACACTCACAATAGCTAAGTAAAAGAACCATCTTCAGTGAACGAATTACGGATATAAAAAACACTGCCACTAGAAATATTTTTAAATAAATTAATTTCCTTGGCAATATTCCTTAAAAGTGGAAAGCACTAATTAATACATTTCAATCCTAAAAGACAGCTACGAAATTGCATGTAAACAAAACTGCAAAGCATTCTAGCAGCCCAGTCCATGAAAAGTAAGTGCCACAGGATGCAAACTCTACCTGGTTCGACGAATTGATTGACGTGCCATTACTGAGTAGTGAGAACGTTTCCAATTCCTGCCGCAAGGAACAGAGAGGTCTTACAACAGGGACAGCCCATGAATGCTTGCAAACTAGGTAAACCTAGGATACAACACTGTTTCCTTCCACGCACTGCCCATAAAATAAAAACCACCCCAAAAGTCATTAACACTGTGAAACAAGGGTACAGTTTCCTGAATACTGAAATGGACATATGTTTGTCTTGGAAACCCCAGTACAAAACACTCAACATTCAACACACAATCAGGAAGCAAAAAACTCTCCTGAGGAACAGAAGTTTTTTGTATTTTCATTAAGAAATTAATACTTCAGGGAGGCATTACAGCACTGAAATGAAAGCTGGAAGTCAACAAGAGAGATAGCCAAGTGTTACCAACATCACTGATTCCAAATAACAGAAAGTATTTTGGAGTTTTCAATTTTTATTTTTCTAACATATAGGTGCTTTAAGCCTATCACAGCTGAGTCATGTGCCAGCAACAAAAAGGTGGCAAGGCCAACATAGTGAGCGCCTACAAAAAATATTCCTGCATAAAACTGCCCTTTATTTGTGACAGAATAATTTCAGAGGGTTTAGAGCTGCTACAACACTGAGGGGGCTTGGGGTGTGTTTTGGGGGGTAGGTCAGTCATACATGTGAGGCTGGTCAGAGAGAGGACTAAGATGCTACAGCCAAATTTATTACAAAAGCTCTCGGAAAATTGGATGCCCACCAATCACTTCACCACATACTGCACAGGTGCCCCTCTGCAGGTGGGACACATTGGCTCTTTAACACAGCCCTGTACACAGGGTGAGGATGTGAGTGTCAGCCTCAACTACTAGCTAATGTTCCCTACTCCTGAAAACGCATCCTGGGATTTTATGTCACCAAGGCAGCCTTATCCAAGCGTGCTAGCAGCAGCCTAACGCCCTCTAGCTCCATCCAAGGGTATATTTAAGTACCAACAGTACTCCAGTTTGGGCAGCACTTTCTTGCAGAGCCAGTTACAGATTCAGACACTGGGGTCAATTTACTGGAACCACGACTTGCTTTTTCCTGCCTTCTTTCCTAACATCTGACCAGATGTGTACCCGTACTTTTCTCAAAGCACAAGCCTTTTTCCCACCATGAAAAGGGTGCATGACTAGGTATGGGGCAAGAACCCCTCATGACCCATGCCAGACATCCATCCTTCTCACTCCAGAACAGGGAAAGGACTGTGATGCAAAACCTTTGGGATCAGTTCCTCTCCTCCCAAAAACACAGCCCCCTCCTGCAGCACCAGCTCTGCTCTGCTCAGCTGGGGACACAGGAAACATCCTGGGAGCAGAGACAGAGCAGGAATAGGATTAGAAATGGATGAAGGCAAAGTTGAGTAAGGGGGTCAGTACAAGGAGGGTAGCCAGCAGCCTGCTAAAGGGATCATGGTGTAGTGTATGTGTGTCCATAGCTGAAGAGCAGCACCTACCACTTCTGCAAAAGTAAATCTGAAAGAGTCAAAGAACAGTGTATAAGAAAAAAAAAAAAAAAAAGTTATACCTGAGGTCTTTTGTATGCTTTTCGAACCCTCAGTCCCAGCTTCTGGGCAAGCTCCTGTCCCAGCTGCGTGACGCTTTCATCCTGGGGACAAAGACATTGGCAGGACACTTTCAGTTTTGCCTTTGAGGTACACACAATGAAATACACAGGAATGCAGTTATCCACACTGCGCTGTGCCAAGAAGCCTCACTTGTAGATAGCAGCAGGTGGCCAGTTGCCAGAGCAGACCTAAGGGCTCTTGTAATTCAGTTTTGCTGAGATACTGAGGTTGCACCAAGACCTCCCTCCACACTCTTCCAATGCTGCAGAAAATCAGTATCAAGTGTGTGCTTCCAAGAAAGCACCCACTCTCCAAAAGCAGGGTTCACGAGTCCTGCTGGCAAGATGGCTGATAGAGCTGCCAAAGGTGGCTGCTAGCAGCCCCTGTGCTGGGAGCTGATACAGCTTCCTCAAGACCCCCATGTCTGGGAAGAAGGAGCCTGCATGCCTTCCTGCATGCACAGCCTGTATACTCTCCCTATCCACCAGCCACAGCCTGATATGCAGACTGTTCACTAGCCTGTTTTGCTTGTTTGTCTTTAAAGCTGAAACCAAGTCTCAGTTTCCAGCTCACTAGCTACAAGGCATTTTCACTATCTCCAGCACTGGTTAAACAGCCTCACCTTAGTCAAGGAGATCCTTCTGCTTTCCCTGCTGTGTGCCATTAACCATACTGCCTGCTCACTGCTCAGGCCCACTCACACACCATCATGGGCTTTAGACAAAGCTCTGGGTCACAGTCCACTCCCTTTCTCCATCCTCTCCAGATCTGCCTAGACTAACAACCACAGCCTTCTTCACTTATTTATCACAAGCAACTCTTTCCTTCTGCTTTCCTCTCTCTCTCTGTTTGCAAAAATCTAAGAGTAACCTTTGACAGTTTCTTGGAAGAAGAAAAAAAGTACTTCTCAAACCTATTGTGACATCTCTCCTTAACGTCCCAATATCTCCTCCTTCATCTCCAATCTTGAAGCTTGCTCTCTTCTCTCTACTTGTCATGTTGGTCTTTCCAACCTCCTTCTCCCTGCAGGCTCATCCTTTTCCTTTCTGCCCCTCACTAGCCTCTGATTCTTCCAACCCACAGTATGAGTAACTTTTCCTTCAATTTGGACTGTCACTTATTGACTGTTCTTGCTCCCCAACATCTTCAGCACTGGTATTGTCATCCTTTTCTCTGAATTCAATGAAGACAAAAATCTATCTTCCATTTCCTCTTCTCTCTCCATCTCACACTCTT